ACACTAACGACAGATAACTCACAGCTTTCAATCGTTTCAATAATCAGCACATATTTAACTCTTCTGTTAAAAAATGGATCTGGAAGTCTATTTCTACATTCAATGGAACGACCAATTTTCCGTTTTATGTCGATTACTACCGATCTTATCATATGAGGTAATATTAGTTGTAAGCTACCCCCCTTCTCTTTACTGTGGTTGGCGACAGAGGAATAAATTCTCGGGAGACAAGGTTTAAGGAGTTACGAGACCTTCCTAGAATTCATTCTAGAACTGTCAATATGAAATATTATCTGATATGTCAATAGTATTTCTTCTAGCAGTGATGTAATTTGTAGTAACTCTAAATTCTTTATTGTTATAAACTTACATTTGGGTCTTCTCCTTCTCTGAGTTCAATATCTCCTTCAAATAATCCTTAAAAAGAGAAACAAATTCTGGCACAGGAGGGAACGAATTTATTTATTTGCAAGCTCATCTATATACCGTAACAGTTTAAGCATTACATGCAGTGATGTAATCTATGTCTATTATATGTTCCATAGAGTTCGATAGAGAATTCAAAAGTTTTTAAATTAAATTTCGCAATAATTAGATCGTATTTGTCTCTATCGAGGTCCTGTTTATGCATAGGATAAACTGTACAGAGAATTTGATTGGGTTATTTGTATGCATTCGTGGTAACTTGTGTCTACATATCATGGTTTATGTAAAATTACCCAAAACAAAATATCGAATACGAAAAATATAACTGGGAGCTTATTCATCTGATTTTATTCAAGTAAATACATAAAATACTTTTTTACGTTCAAGGAGGAATGCATTTTCATTGTGCAAAAGTATGATTATAAAGCATTAACTGTGTATTTTGAAATATAAACACCGTTATGTGCACCATTAGCCCAAATGGTCATCCCTGAAAGTTTTGTTGACGCTCTGCAACAGATTTCTGGAAAGTGTCAAGGATTTCCGATTGCATTTGGGCAATTGCCCGTAAACAAATTGCTGATACAGCCTTTACCTGGATTTTCTTCTGGGTAATCTTCGTCAAATTCTGAAACATAAGAAATTAATGTGATGTGAGTTACATTTGAAAAAATACAAAGACATTCATAATGTCGATCTGAGAGGTCTAAAGCTCCTTGATGTCCATGGATTAACTCAACAACACTGCTCAATAATGTACCAAGGGACGTAACTCGATTGTTTACCGAATTGTGCTCTCCTTTTTTTTTTTTGCTACAAATCAAATCACTGCTTATGGTCTTGTCTTAGGATCAACTCAACCTTAATTTTTTCTGGTTCCAATTCAAACAGTAGAGACGTGTTCCTATGACAAATGATTCACAGTATTATAGTTAGCGACATCATCATTTTTGCCCAGTTAGATGCGAGTAATTCTGAACAGACCGTGATTATAAGGATGAGAAGGTGACGACTATTATCACCAATCAGTGTCAATCATAGTGAATGGAACTCAGTTGATAACGACACCTTTCTTAAAATTTCAAAAGTGGAGGGTTCAAAATGTACAAATTTAAAGCACGATTTGTTGTCTCATCCGACAAGAGGCTTTTCCATTTCATATCAATACCTCTTTGAATCTAAATTAATTATGATCCGGATGTAGTGACGTCATCCAATTAATCCGGCGATTATATTTTATCCCTTTAAGATCCCTTTAATATCCCAGAGATGATAGAATTCTAAGACAAATCTAATTTAAGATCGTGCATAATCAAATATATTAGTTTAGCTCACTGGACGTCGGCTGAATTGACGTTTTTCTAGATGTGAGTTGCACCCCTTTGCCAGATACGTCTCTTCCCGAGAATTTTTGGATTTATATACAAAGCAGAGCACGTTGGCTAACTCCAGTGGATAATATCTAAAACCCTTTCTCGGGATGAGGGATTTGGAATGTCTTAAAATCCCTCTGCCATATTTTATTCTATACATAGTACCCATAATTAAACACTGTAAACAATGCCAGATGTGGC